CACCCCTGGAGACAGCTCTCGTAAGACTTGAGTATGTGTACCTAATGAAGTGTCTCCTACCTGCTTTCCAGGCATCAGCAGACTCTGGATCTGATGATGCCAGTACCCAGGAGGCAAATGCGATGCAGACCAAACACATGTCAGACTGCTGCAGCGCAGACAAGACGCCCACTCGCACTAGAGGAAACATTCATCGATGTCGTTAATTTTCCCGACGTTCATTTTCTCACCTGCGATGATTACCTGGTCTCTGTATTGTTCCCACGATCCTCTGCTGCTCAAGTGCTTGAAGGGAAACTCCTCCCACCGTGGGAACAACCACACCGCCCTCCTCACTTTGGGTCGGCAGTTCCCACCCATCAGACCTTCTGTACCAGATGCTGCCTTTGTCTTGGAAGCGGATTTTACCGAATGGCAGTAAGCTCCTCCCACTTTGAGATTCAGCTACCCGGAGAGCACGCGAGACAATTCGCACAGGCGAAATAACGTCCTCTTCCAAGAAGTCTACGCTGAAAAATGGATCATTCCTTTTGAGGAGCGGGAGTTCTCTGACGGTCGGATGTGAGCAGGAGAAAATCGGGATGGGTTTCCAATTATGGCTCTGAGTTGGTAAGAACATTTTATGCTCACATGTGCAAATCATATCATTATATCCTGGAGCATGTGAGGTCCCTTCTGGATCATAGACAAAAATGACATTCCTGTTTCCCGTTTCCTCTGTGATGAAGGATTCTGGGGAAAATTCCAGATCGTCTCCTTGGAGAGGTGCTGCTACGATTGACCCCAGACTGTCTCTCTTGGACTTCTTCTCATCATTGTGTAAATGTGACTGCAAAGATAAATCATCCGTGTTGAGAGCTCGTATATTCTGCACACTTTTGTTTTTCATCATCGCTCTGGGCATTGGGTTTTGTCTTGCGGAGTCTTCGACTGGTACTGGGGTCTGGATTCCGGTTGACCTTTCCTCTTCCTCTTCCTCCCGTTGGGTTTTGCAGCTCAGATCAGGACTGGCGTTCCTACTCATGCCCAAAAATTGCCAGTAGTCATCTTCAAAGTCACACACAGAGAAATCCCAACTGGATCTGTCCACCTTGGAGTCGTCTGGCTGTGTGAAATAGTCCGAGTCAGCGGCGTCGGACACATCCGTGAGGCCTCCGTCTGTCAAATGAAGCTCGTCGGGGTCCACAAGGGAACCGCTTTGTGACGGGACATCGGACGTCTCCGTGGAAGGCGGGCTTCTCGCCATCCTCAGCTGTAAAATATCATTGATGGTTAATTTTTCCATTTCGTCCCAGAAGGCCGAGATGGCGAAGACGCACGGCGCGCGGCCCGCAGCCTGGGCGTACGCTTCGGGGCCGTCGGCCACGGGGGTGATGATGACATCAGGAACCGACCGAGGACCGTCGACACCGCATGCTGTCAGGTGAGGTTCTGTTTGGACTCGTGGCAGATCTGCTTTCTGATGGGTGGAGCTCTCAGCTGGAGGTGTGGCACCTCTTTGGCTCGTCAATGGTGAAAACGCCCATGTGGGCTCAACAAAAACTTTATCAGAACCTCCACCGTTGTCGTCTGATTCTTTGGCTTGCAGACTCCTAGCACCAGAACTTTGAATTGGATCACAGTTGTGTGGTAATAATAATAATGATGATGAGGTGTAGGACGGGAACTCTCTTGGTTGATTTTCAACGGAATCCTCCTCAAAGAGATCCTGAGCCACTGATTCAGAAGCTGAAAGATAGATTTCAGAACCAGAACTGGGAAAGGTGAAGAATTCAACACTGTCCACAAACTCATCTGAGTCCACCCTCTCCAAATGAAAAATATCATGCGGGGTGCCTTCGGTATCGTTTTGCAGCGCGCCGTCATCATGTAAGGCCCCTTCTTTGTTGTTTTGCGCCATATCGTCACCTTGTAGGCGTTCTTCGACATTGTCTTGCCGTGTGGTGTGATCTACGCAGAAGGCCCTTTTGCTCTTGGTTTGCGTTCTTTCATCACCATTCAGGGTCGCTTCTATTTTGTCTTGCCGCATGCTGTCATCTTGATGTGTCGTTCTATCGCCATCATACAAGGTTTCGTCTTTCTTGCTTTGGACTATATCGACATGCAGGGTTCTTTCTTGGCGGTTTTGTTGAATATCTTGTATGGTTCCGTCTTCACGGTCTTGCGTTATATCTTCACCGCGCAGAGGTCTTTTTCTGTCGTTTCGTTCTATATCGCCATCATGCCTGGTTTCCATACAAATGTTTTGGACTGAACCACAAGAGGTTTTCTGCCCGACTCGTTCTTCGCTTCTGTTTTGATTTGGTGTCGCGTTGATATTTTTATTCACCGCACTTTCATTGTGTTGAGGCTCCCGCCTGGGTCTGCACCATTTTTTTTTAAGTTGAGCTTTTTTTTTCCTTGGAGTTGCACTGGCCCGGCGCGACACTGGACTGTCATTCAACAACAGCGTCACAAACCAGCGCTCCTTCTCCTCTCTCGGAGGAAATTCGCTGCCAGCCTGAGCCAGACATCTCACTTTTGTTTCACGCTCAGTCGGCAGTGACCGAGCGACGTCATTGACCTCCGGTGTCTGTACGATGCTTTTTTGGGTCTCTTCGGGGATGCGTTCCTCTGTTACGTGCACCTCCTGACTGAGAAAAGGAATTCCTGTATCATTACATATTTGGGCTTTATTATCCTCAGCTGTATCCTCTTCTATGACATCCTGAATGAGCTCCAGTTTAACACAAGTTGTTCTATTTTCTTCTAAGCTCTGTGGCGACTGAGTGGCTGGAACCGAGCGGTCGGAACAACGGAGGCCCTCGGGACAGGCGAGCAGAGGTTGCGGCACACAGCACTCCTCGCTCTCCTGGCAGAAGTTGGACCAGACCTCCTCGGCGATGCGCATGCTGTGATCCAAGTCATCCATTCCAACAGCTCACATGCTTTCCTGGGAGTAGAAATGGCGACGCAAAGGTCATTCTGTAAGTGTTTTGGTTGCCCATTTGTCCTCTTGATAGCATTGAACTGTCTGGGCTGCGACATGTTTGTGCTAAATATAGGGCACTTGTAAAGCTGTAGACAATATTGTATCAGGTAAAGATTTAAGACCTCTCAAGTCGTGCAATATGGGGCTTATTCCAGTCACAACATTAATTAGTACAAATAGGGGCAAAATATTTGATACATTTTACAGCACTGCATGGACCAATTTGACCACAAAGTACTCAACAGGTGACTTATTTTAATTCTAAAGGCACACATTCGTTAGTTAGTATTCACCACATTCTCTGTTAGTCATCTCCAATTCCATTTGTCTCGTCGTGCTTGATTGAATTCACTATCTAGAAAACATACCTGCAAGAAGACAAGCACAAACGTTCCGGTCTGAAGTCTCCTGCAGGAAAATGTCCCGTTGTCTGGCAATCTCACATATGTCACACCGGTCGGTGCCCTGGACCGCTCTTTATAAATAGACTATGTTCGGTCACATGTTGCTGCTGCTGGTGAACTTGTCCTGCCCTCTATGAGCAGAGGTGTAACATTTCAGTTCCTTCAATCATATGACATTGAGCAGGGATATTATACTTCACTATTTACATGATGAGCCAAAACGAAACTCAAAACGTTCAACCGCCGTCCTCTAAGATGTAATTTGAAAGAGCAAATGAAAAGCGTCTACATGCAGCTACTTGTATTGACTGTGACGCTGGAACCAGCATAACAAAGTTGATAAGCTATAAATTACATTTTTGTAATATTATACACATAGTGTCAACTGTTTTAACCCTTTTATGCACCCTGTAACCGGATAACAGGATAATCTGTCCACTGTAGTAACCGCTGT